TTTTAAATATTAAATATATTAAAACATATGATTTTTATCTATTATAAAAATTTTAATAATAATTTCGTTAAAATTATTAAATTATTATATTTAAAAAAAATTTTTTTATTTTTCATTGTTATATATTTTAAATTTAAATGTTAAATATTTATGTTTATATTTCTAATTTTGTTTTATTGATGTAATTAATTTTTGATGAACTTAAGCATTTGATTGATGTTATACGTTATGATTGTATAGTGTAAATGTCTGTGTACATGTTTGTATGCTGTCATAGTGCTTAAAAAAATTTATAATAATTATATAATAAATTTAGAATATTTAACGATAATGACAGCAGTTAAGCAAAATACAAAACGATCAAAATGGGCTTTGGATTTTGCTCACAAGTTGGTAACCTTATCATTCAAGTTATATTTTTAATACGTACAATACAAATTCTTTTAATTAATTAATCATTATGTTTATTAGAATTTTTGATAAATTTATATATATATGTGTATGTAATTTAGATTATAGAAAATAAATATGTCAATAAAAATTATTATTTTTCTATAATTTACATAAATAAATGACTTAAAGATATAAAGGTTATGATATAATATTTTATATTATTTTTTTAAAAAACAAGTAATATAATTTAATAATATATTTTTTTTGTAGGAATAAACAAGAAAAAAATGCAGATATTGCTTCACCACCAGGCTATACACCTGCTGTTGCTTTATTTCATGCTGCTGATTCAATTAGAGAATCAGATTCTAATCATTTAATAATTAAAAAATCATGGGATTTAGCTTTAGGTCCTCTTAAACAAGTTCCAATGAATTTATTTATAATGTATATGGCGGGTAATTCCATATCAATATTTCCTATTATGATGGTTGGTATGTTAATTATCAGACCAGTGAAAGCATTATTTACTCTTCAGCAAAGTAAGTATATCAAATTATTTATAATTGGAATAGATGTTTTAATGAAAAATATTTAAAATTAAAGAAAAGTAATAACAAATAGTAAGTTTTATGCTAATATTTAAAATATTTTTTTTTAGCATTTAAAGTAATAGAAGGAACACATGCTTTTGGACAGAAGTTTGTATATTTTTTAGGACAATTGGTAAATATTGCACTTGCATTATATAAATGTCAATCAATGGGATTACTCCCAACACATGCATCTGATTGGTTGGCATTTGTAGAACCTCAAGCACGATTGGAATATTCAGGTGGTGGATTTATATATGTATGACACAAAATATAATTATTTAAAAATATAATATGTACATTTAAAGTGAATTGTTATAAATTTAGACACATTTTATTTTATCTTATAAGTTACCAAAATATTTACATTACACAAAATGTTTTATTAAAATCAAATCACAAAATATTTCATGTTTATATGCATATAACAATAAAAAATACAACAATATAATAGTATAATAAAACTATATGCATTGAAATATATTTCATAAACATATTATTTAATAAATTATTATTATTTTTTTTTATATTCATCTACAAATTCTTTTATTCGTTCTATTATCTTATTAGGATCATCTACACGTGGTATCTGAAATAAATTTACATTTAAAAATTATAATATACTATATAAAATACTAATATAAATTTTACCATAAAATGATGAAATATCTTTAAATTATTGAAACAATTAGTTCAAAATAAAAAATAATCTTAAAATATACCTCATAGTTCTGACTTATATATATACCAGCATAAATTCCAATGCCTAAGGTTATCTAAAAAACAAATTTTTATATTTTTATTAAAAAATAATGTTATTATTTAAAAAATAAGACATTAAAATGTACCAAAAATTTGAACATTTTTTTTATTGATTATTATTTTGATTTTATTATTATTATAATTTTAACACACGAAAAGTATTTATTTTATATTTTAATTAATCTTTAACATCAAACTGAATTTTAATATAAAAATTTCTTGTTAAGAAATTCTTATATTACTTGACAAATTTCTTTTATTAAAGTTTTACAAATGTATAATTTATAGGAAATCTTTCATTTACTTAGTTTTCTTTATACTCATAGTGTTTGTGATGTTTTCTGTATATAAGGTTATTTGTACTAAGAAAATTTTTATTCTTATTAAATAATCAATTTTTATTTCCTATTCCTTATTAAAATTATTTAAAACATATTTTAATTAGATATAATAAAGACAAATTTATATAAATATAATATTACGAAAATAACATATTTATCGCACACTTATATTATCATAATCATATGGTTAAGCAAGTAAATGATCTAACTGCTTCTCTTTTCATTAATACCGCGAAATTTAGGAATATTTAAATTACTATAATATATAATTAAATTTATTTTAGAAATATTATTATCAAAGTTTATAAACTTTGATAAAATATTTAAAACTATTACACATGTAATTTAATAAATTATAACATTAATAACATTAATAAATCTTACAATATAATATTAAAAACTATTTATTTTAATTTCTTCATACTGATTTATACTTATAAAGAAAGAAAATATGAATATACCGGAAATTATAAGAAAAAACAAGATAAATCTAAAATTTCAAATATACATTCTATTTACGTATATACTTTGTATAAATTTAAGAAGATTAAAGATACTTTAATTATTTTTAATAATAT